ACAAGACCAGATAAAGATATATCAAGGAAAGAAAACTACAGACCAATACCTCTGATGAACACAGATGCAAAAATTCTTAAGAAAATATTAGCAATTAGCATTCAAAAAGATATTAAGAAGATTGTGCTCACTGATCAGGTGTTGGATTCATCCCAAATTTGCAAGGTTGGTTCAACATATGCAATTAAACAAATATAATTCATTACATAAAGAGAATCAAGAGAAAAAAATGAAATGATCATCTCAATAAATGCAAAAAAAAGGTCTTTGACAAAATCCAGCACCCATTCATGCTAAAAACAGTGAGGAAACCAGGTATAGAAGGAACTTAATATCATAAAAGCTATATGACAAAACCAAAGACAACAACATACTAACTGAAGAAAACCTAAAAGAATTTCCTCTAATATCAAGAATAAGAAAAGGATATTCAATCTCACACATTCCTATACAATATAGTTACTGAAATGCTAGTCAAAGCTAACAGGCAAGAGAAGGAAATTGAAAGGATAAAAATAGGAAAAAGAAGAAATCGAATTACCTCTGTTTGCTGATAACAGGATCCTATATATAGAAGATCTAAAAAACTACCAGAAGACTTCTAGAATTCACAAACAAATTCAGCAAAGTAGTAGGATATAAGATCAACATACATAAATCAGTAGCTTTCCATATACTCAAATAATGAATCTGCTGAGAGAGAAATCAGGAAAACTCCATTCACAATAAACTAAAAAATGAATAAATAAAAACGTGGGGATAAATCTACAGAGGTGAAAAACCTATAAAATGAAAATTATACAACACTGAAGAAAGAAATTTAAGAAGACCTTAGAAGATAAAAAGAATGCCCATGTTCTTGGTAGGCCAAATTAATGTTGTCAAAGAGTCACATTAGTGAAAATCATCTACAGATTCAATGTTATCCCTGTCAAAAAAAAAATGATATTTTTCAAAAAACTAGAAAGAAAAACAGCCCTAAACTTCACAGAGAAGAATAAAAGACCCAGAATAGCCAAAGCAATCCTGAGCAATAACAGCAAAGCTGGAGGCATGGGAGCACCTTATCTCAAATTATACTGTAGAGCTACAGTAATGAAAAAACAGTATGGTTGTGGTATAAAAACAGATATGAAGACCAATGGAATAGAAGATACAGAGACAAATGCACACATATACAGGCATCTGATCCTTGACAAAGTTTCCAAAAATATACACTGGATGAAAGATAGCCTTTCTAAACAAATAGTAATGGGAAAACTAGATATCCAGAGGTAGATAAATGAACCTGGATCCCTGTCTTTCACCCTACACAAAAATCAACTCAAAGTGGATCAAAGACCTAGGAAGTAGACCAGAATACTACACCTGCTAGAAGAAACACAGGATCAGCACTCTACCATATTTATACAGGCACCAACTTCCTTAAAAGACTCCAAAAGCTCAAGAAATAAAACCAAAAATCAATAAGTGGATAGCATTAAATTAAAAAGCTTGTATACAGTAAAGGAAATAAGAGTGTGAGGAGGATCCTAAATACACTAAGTTATAGTCCATGAATTTATATGCCAAAATATACTCTACTGTCATGTATATCTAAAAAGAACAAATTTTTAAAAAGAAAAGAAAAAAAGTGAGGAGGGAGCCTATATAATGGGAGAAAATCTTGTTGCCAGCTACTCTTCTGACAGGAGATTAACATCCAGAATACAAAAGAACTCAAAAAGCATAACACACACATAAAAAAAATAATAACCCAATCAACAAATGGGCAAATTATCTAAAAAGAAATTTCTCAAAAGAAGAAATGCAAATAACAAATAAACATTAAAAGAAAAACATAGCAAATCAAAATTGCTATGGTTTGGATATGAGGTGTCCCCCAAAAGAGTTCATGTTAGTGAAATGATTAGATTTTTCAAGCTGTCACCTATTTATAAGTAGGTGGGGCATGGCTGGAAAAAGTAGATCACTGCAGGTGTACTGGGAACTGTATTTTCTTCCTGGCTCCTTGCTCTCTGTTTGCCATTTGCTACGGGCTGAGCAGCTCTCCTCCACCAGGACTTTCTGCCATGATGTTCTGCTTCACTTCAGAGCCACAACATAGAATTAGCCAGCCATGGACTGAAACTCACAAACTATATACCTCAAATAAACTTTTCCTCCGGTTGTTGTTCTCCAGTATTTTGGTTACAATGACAAAAGGTGACTAACATAAAACTACACTAAAACACTGAGTATACAAATAATAATTGCTGGTGAGAATGTGTGGAAAAATGTACACTTATACACTGTTGGTAGGACTGAAAAGTAGTAGACTGCTTTGAAAAACAATATGGAGATTCCTCAAACATAGTATCACCATGTATTCTAACTATCTCACTCCTTGGTATTAATCCAAAAAGTCTAAAATCAGCATACTAGAGTGATTCATGCATACCAATATTTATAGGACTGCAATTTACAACAGGTAAGTTATGGAACAACCTAGGTCCCTGTCAATAGACAAATGGATAAAGAAAATGTGGTATATATACACAATGGAGTTTTACTCATTCATAAAGATGAATGAAATTATATCATCTGTAGGTAAATGGATAGAATTGGAGAACATCATGGTAAGTAAAATAAGCCAAAGGTCAAATGTTTTCTTTCATATGAGGAAGCTAGACAGGGAAAAAAAGGGAATTAAATGTGTATGTATGTGGGGCTGAATCTCATAAAAATATACAAGGGAGACTGTTTGGTTTGGATATGAGGTTTTCTCCTCTAAGCTCAAGTGTTAAGCAATGCAGGAATGTTCAGAGATGAAATGATTATATTATGAGAACTTATAGCATGATCAGTAGATAAATACATTTGATGGATTAACAATTTGAATGTATTACTAGAGGTAACCTGTAGGCAGGAAGGGCATGGCTGGAGTAAGTAGATGGCTGGAGGAAGTAGGTCACTGGGAGCATGTCCTTATGGATTATATTTTGTCCCCGGCTCCCTCCATGTTCATATTCATTCTCATTCATTTTCTCTCTCTCTCTCTCTC